GAGGTAGTAATCCGAGGGTATGGAATGAAGCAAACTTGATCTACTTAGAACGCTAATATGAAAGGCTCGAATTTGTTGTACCTGCAAAAATAAAGACAACGTAAAAATTAGTACTCTGAACATGTATGTCAAAAAAATAATTTGTTGTACCTTCGTCCACCATTGACATCAACTACACCGTTCTTGTTAATACGAACACCTCTGTTGACGACGGGGTCGTACCACTTACACTTGAAGATAACGCATTTCAGACTCATACCTGGGAATTGAACTTCATAAATCTCCTGAAAGATCCCGTAGAAATCTGTTTCGCCTTTCACACATATTCCATTATTACTTTTCACCCGTTGTCTACCATAGTCATAGGTATGAAAAGTATAGCCTCAAGTGAAATACATCGATGATGTAGTGACTTTTGAAAATGGACCTTGAAGTAATTCGCGAAACCATGCGGGATACTCAGGATCGTTATAATCAACCTGCAAAAAAGTAATTAAACTAGACATTAGACTTACTTTGTGGTAATGTGCATAAAATTTAAGTTATAATAAATACTCGTTTCCTCAACCACTTGATAAAATGTTGATCTTTTCTTTTGTCTAACTCAGTTGTCGATATACCAGGTATTGCTTCTTCGACTTGAGTCACAAATTGGCTGTAAAATTATGTTATGTTATTTAATCAATTGAATATATATATATATATATATATATATATATATATATATATATATATATATATATATATAAGTGTGTATGTTTATATGTTTACCTTTCAAAGTAACCAATCAATTGATGCTCGCAATTGAAAATAATATAAAGGTGTGCACTATGGACGTCTTCATTACTCGACCTCCAAACCTCTTTCAATTTCTCACCCAATCGCCCAATTTGACAAAAGATGTCTGGAACATAGTCTTCCATATATGTCGGCACGACACCACCATCATCATATCTTCTTGGAGCTCGTTTCCTTGTACGTACTTTCGGTGCAAAGTAGTATGATGTGAAATGTGATGTTTTTTCCGTCAAACTTCGCGCAACAATAGAACCTTCAATTTTTGCTAGGTTTTTGGCTTTTCCTTTCAAAGTTTTCATGGCCCTTTCATACTGATACATCCATCCATAATGCACATGTCCACGAAGTAATGCCTCATACGGGAGGTGGACAACTAGGTGTTCCATAACGTCAAAAAAAGTAGGCGAAATATTTTCTCCAAGTTGCAGATTAAGATGGGGATGTTTTCATGAAGTTGTTGGACAACTTCCCCTTTAAGAGTGCGGGTGCTCAGATCCCTAAAAAATGCTTCAATTCCTTATATATTACAAAAATTAAACACATTAGTATATTCATATATATATATATATAAAGAAATAAATTAATGTTTAAGTCGTATTATATTAATTACCTGAAAGTGTTTCATGTACTTTTGCCGGTAGTAGTTCCGCAAATACAAAGGAAGTAGTCACTGCATAAAGACATGACAATCATGGCTCTTCATCCTGGAGAACTTTTGCCCTTTCTCAACACATCTTGAGAGATTTGAAACATACCCATCAGGGAACTTCACTTCTGAAGCTACCCAGTTGAACAACGCAGACTTTTTTTCTGATGACAGTCTGAATATCAGAATTGGAACTTGCCCATTGCTTTTTATATGTAGCTCACTCCTTGAGCAGGTATCGGGTAAGTCCAACCTCAATTTTACGTTGTCTTTCGTCTTCCCCGGGACATTCAATATAGTGTTCACAATGTTCTAAAAAAAGTTCTTCTCTATATGCATCACATCGAGGTTGTGCCGCAAAAGAAGATCTTTCCAATATGGCAATTCCCAAAATATACTTTTTTCTGCCAATTGTACTGAACACCATAAGAATCAGACATATTACTGGGAACATGCACATTCCCACCACGAGAAGCTGTTTTTAGAGCACCGTAGTAATCAATTTGCGCTTCGATTTGTTCTCCAGTTAAGTATGGAGGAGGAGTGTCTCTGACAACCCTTTTGTGCCTAAACAATGTCTTGTTTCTTTGGTATGGGTGGTAAACGGGAAGAAATCGACGGTGACAATCGAACCAAGTAGTTTTCCTACCATTCTTCAACTAAAACGCATCTCTCATTCCATTACAATATGGACAAGCTAATCTCCCATGTGTAGTCCATCCAGACAACGTCCTATATGCAGGAAAGTCACTTATGGTCCACAAAAGCATCGCTCGCATCGTAAAATTTGTTTTCGTTGAACAATCATATGTCCTCACCTCTATTGACCACAAATCTTTGAATTCTTTTATCAGTGGTTGTAGAAAAACGTCGAGAGATCTTTTTGGATGCTTTGGACCAGGTATTAATATGGTAAATAATAGAAACTCTCGTCGCATGCACATCTCCGGTGGCAGGTTTTACGGTGTAAGAAAGACTGGGCACAATGAATATTGTCTCCCTGACATTCCAAATGGACTAAATCCATCAGTGCATAATCCAAGATACACATTTCGGCTATTGCTAACGAAATGTGGATGTACATTTAAAATGTTTCCAAGCTCTTGCATCTGATGGATGAGTAATCTCTCCATCCGTCTGAGTATGCTCGGCGTGCCATCTCATCCCTCCAGCAGTCTACTCAGATTTGTACAATCTTTTCAATCTGTTTGTGATTGGTAGGTACCACATCCTTTGGTACGATACCTATTATGCCCTCGACCTTGCGGTTTAAATCGTGGCTTCTTACAAAATCGACATTCTTCTAACTTCTCATCATCTCCCAAGTAAATCATGCAGTTGTCGATGCAAACGTCTATCATTTCTGAGGGCAACCCAAGACTATATACCAATTTCTGAATCTCATAATAAGATTCAGCAGACACATTGTCTTCTAGCAAATACTCTTTAAACAAGTCTGCCCATGCATCCATACAATTTTCACGTAGATTGTGATCGGTTTTAATACTTATCATTCTAGCAGCCAACGACAATTTAGACAGACCTTCTCTAAAACCACTGTAAATTGGCTCATTCGCAGTTTCTAACATTTCATTAAAAAAAATTTGCATCTTAGTTAGGTTCTTCAACTTCATCATCATCATGAGTTACAAATGCATCACCTACCATATCATGAACCCTATCACAATCTACCATTTGTTCCTCTTGGTGATGATAGCTATTTTAATTACGCAAATGATCAACCGGTTCAACCTGAAAATTGCTATTACTACTGCTAGCTTCATTCCTACAACTAGCATCTTCTCCATGTTGATACCAAATATAATAATATGGCATGAAACCTCTATTTATTAAATGTTTCCAAACATTTTCACGAGGACCTAATTTTGTATTGCAGCATTTCCGACAAGGACAGAACATCTTACCACTTTCCTGCGTGAGTGGTGTAGAATCTGTTTGATGCATAAACGTCTCCAACCCTTCGAGAAATTCTTTCCTCACTCTCCCGATATTATCTCTGTGTGAATACATCCACTTCCGCAAATCGAAAATATTTCTAGGACCGGACATTTTTTTTTCTTTGATCAAGCTTAAAGCTGATTTTTTTTTGTGTGTTTGAAATGAATTATAAATGATGGTATTTATAGAAAATTTTGAATCTGAACATTTATTAGGAAATTGCTAGGAAAGGTAGGTACAAACCACATTTTAGATTTAAAATAGATATTTTCCTCGCTAATTTGAAGTAAAAGAACATATCCTCCTAATTTCGTAGTAATGTTTTACTAGGAGTTTACGAGGAAATGTTTTACTACGAAATTACGAGGAAATGTTTTACTACGAAATTAACGAGGAAATGTTCTTTTGTCACGTAGTTTCCTCGTAATATTACTACGGCCTTACGAGGAAATTTTTTTTCCGTACGTTTACGAGGATTCTTGTTTTCCTCGTAACATCGAAGTAATCTCATAATAAGTTTACGAGGAAATATTTTCCTAGTAAATTTTCTTAGTAAACTCTTAATTTTCTTGTAGTGAAATTAACAAAAGATACATCAATTTATTTCCCTTTTAACAATTTGGGTTTTGCACTACTTAATTATTATCCTTGAAGTAGCTAGGCCAAACAAAAAAAATCAGATGGCCACATCAGGAAAACATTTCTAGAAGACTCTATTTCTCACAGTGGAATCTGCCGTTTAGAGTACTTTCACACTGACCAACCGTTTATGGATTTTGAAATCAACAGTTTTTGCATTCATCGTGGTTTAGTGTTGTTTTGTCTACGTTTGATTCGACATCATGAAATATTTTTACATAAACGTGTACTATATATACTACCAGTATTATTATTTTTCTGTTCAATGCTTTTAACTGGCATAAATGCATTTGGTGGAAAGCAATGTCTCAACTAATAGTTTCTCAAAAAAAAAAAATGTCTCAGCTAATATTTAAATAAAAATGCCTGCAAATCAACTATACGTTGGGTCAAATGACTCAAATCTCATCTAATCATATTAATTGTCAAAACAATTGATAAAAACATCATTGAGGAGAATAAAATCATACAAATCTTAAGTCTAACAACATCCTAATTTTGGAAGAAAATGTAAATGTTTTGTTTACTTACTAATTATATGGTTGTATTATTAACCACATTTACCGATCGGGCCAAGAAACTAAATCCACATATTGAGATATTTTATACATATGCAAATATTTCGTCTTTCGGTACAATAAAAAGGGACTTGTATATCACTTTTACACAAATATTACGAGAGTTATAGTGAAACTTAAACATATTTTCTGAAGATGGCTTAATGTCACACTTCTTCAGAAGTCCGTCGTCGGGTTTTAGTTCTCCATAAATAATTTTGATCAACGCTTTGGGACCCATGTGATGACTACATTAAGATTCCGATTGTTATCTATCCAATTAATTTTATTTCGCCTTTTTAAAGTACCATGAAAAAATGACGACCTATATATACCCAACGCAACCACTTGAAGAATTATTCCATTTTACTTTGGGTTATAATTCCTCCTTTCTCCACATGATGGATACATTCTCTTGTAATTCTTATGAACAAAATCACGCCCCGTTAGACCATCGCGATGATGATGTTGATATTGATCATCATGCTAGTGATCATCAAGAGGAGAGTGGATGGACAACTTATCTCGAAGATTTCTCACAACAATACAGGACTCATCGTGAAGATAGCGAGCATCAAGACAAGAGTTCTTGTTCGCTTCTTGGTATCTCTCCCTCTCTGGTCTCAGATGCCGCCACGGACGCCTTTTCCGGCAGGAGTTTTCCAGTTAAATTTTCGGCGAAGTTGAAGTTTGGGAAGGCAAAAACCAAAAAGATTTGTGAGGATGATTCTTTGGAGGACACGGCTAGCTCTCCGATCAATAGCCCTAAGGTTTGATACTAGTTACCATAATCTTATTAAAACATAATTTATGGTTGAAATTTTAATACATAAAATTTTCTCTTTTTTTTTTTTGGTTGATCTATAAATGATTTATGAGTTTTAATTAGATTTAAAATATGATTGATTATCATGACTCATTTACCTCCGATTATTAATTATGCCTTTTTCATTATTAATCTTTAATTTGTAGTATCTCTCTTTGTCGTAGTGCAAATGTGTAATTTTATATACATGGTATTGATCAGGTTAGTCAGTCTAAACATATCCAGACGCCTCCTAGAAAACATGACGACTATGTCTCTTCTAGTTTCGTTACGGTAATATCTCAAATTTTCTTTCATACATATAAATTTAAGTCTTTCTAACCTTTTAAATTTATACTCATTTAATTATATCTCATAGGAAAAGAGAAAGAAGATTCATTTTGCATAATATTTAATTAAGACAGACCTGGCCCTGTTTTATTAGCTAAACTCAATAGTATTTGTTTGTCTGATTATAAGGAAGGTTCAAGGATTTTTCCGTACTAGTAATCTTTAGATTATATTTGATGGATATAACACGTAAATACGTTTTGATATGGTATTGACAGAGAAATACGAGAGGCATGGAGGAGGATCATCAAATCCAAATCCAAGAAGGGGATGAACAAAATATGGGTATGATGGGGAATCTCAGAGAAGAAAACAACAACAACGATGATAATATGGACTTGAGGAGTCGAGGATTATGCGTCGTCCCTATTTCCATGTTGGCTAACTTTAATGGTCGCTTCTGAATAATAATTTCTGATTCAAGCAGCCTTATAAATTTGGCGGTGATTATATACGTACCCATCGATCTTATACTTGCTTGTTGTATTTTCACCATGGTGGGTATGTGGTTAATGACTTTTGTGTAGTTTGTTTACATCTATACTAGTTTAACTAGATAATAATCTGCGCTAATGAACTTTTTTAAAAATGCTGTGTTTAAATATATATTTTGTTATCAATAACTTTTTTTTTTTTACATTTGATTAGGGATAGGTTTTCGGGTACCATTTAATTCGGTTAGATTCTGTTTGGTTTAGATCTTTGGGGTTTGGTTTGAATCTTTGCAGATTCAATTTCGGTTTAGGTTCGGATAACCCATTTAATTTTTGAAAAAACAGATTAAAGTTCATTCATACTTTAAATTTCTCAAAATCTAAAAATAAAAATAATATATAACATATCAATTTGAAAAATGCCAAAATACTTAAACTTAACATAAAATTAGTTTATCTTAAATATTTGGACAAAAAATCAATAAATATTTTAAGTATGTTTGGTATTTGGAGTATCGTTTAGCTATTTTAAAAATGTAAATTTAAATATTTTATATATTTCTAAGTATTTTGGAAAATTTTAAAACATCTCATGCTTTCTATATTCTTAGATGTTAAATTAAAAAATAATTAATATATTTTAGTATATAAATCCGGTTCGAGTACACTCAGATACCCTAAATATTTCGATTTAGTTTCAGTTCTTTAGATATTAAAATTTTGAATCCGTTTGGATATCTAACCAATTTTGGTTAAAGATCTATACTACTTTCGGATTAGATTTGGTTTGGTTATTTGAATTCATTTTTTTTGCTCAAATCTATATTTTTTATTGTAACAAAAATTTTAAACAAAAGGGATGATGGTTCATATTAATTTTGGATATGCAACAATTTTTAAACCAAAACATACTCTATTATGTACATGATATATTTAGTTAATCACTAAAAATTGTTTAAGATCTATTAGAAAAACGATTGGCTGAACTAAAAACCGTTATCATTGATCACAAAATTTTCAATGTGAGATTTATACTATTTTTAATCATTTATGGTCGTTTTAAGAAATTCAAAATATAACATATAAGAAAAACTTTAAATTTTTTTATTATATGATTAATGTGATTGTTTAATTTCTTTTATAATATAAAATTTAATAAAGATAAAGAGGAAAAAAAATTGTTATCAAATCTTTATTATTCATAATTGTTAATTGTCATATATATGTTAATCATATTAGGTAATTCCGTAAATTTTATTTGAGAAAAATATAGAGAATATTCTTTTGTACACTACTAATTAAATATGATAGTTAGTTTGATACCAATATACTATATATTTAGTTGGACCAACATATTTCTCTAAGAATTCTAAAAATCATTCTCAATGTGACACGTGGGTACCAAAAAATGTTTTAATGCTCCAGGATTAATATATAGGGGATATACGGTTTTATGCGTGATGAACATTGTATATAAAAATTATTTTCTGTATTATTATTTATTTTTCGTTTTATATATATATTAAAAATTAAAAATAATAAATATATATTAACAATTAAAATAAAATTAACTATTATATAATAATTAAATTATCACAAATTCATCAAATCAATCACTTTTAAAAATAACTTTTATATATTTTATCTCGATATAATTAAATCTAAATGATGTTAACATATATATATATATATATATAATATTTTATAATACTATGAAACTAACAAATTTAATAAAATTCAACCAAATTGGAACTAAGAAGTTATGGTACAAGTCAACGATAGATGCAATCCAATTATGATTCAATATACTCATTATATTTTAATAATATAATAATAGTTAAAATTAGGGGTGGGACGGATCCGGATATCCGGGAAACTTAAAGTATCCGGATCTGGATCCGGATTCGTCGGATCCGTGATTTTAGTATCCGGATTTGGATTCGTATCTTCCGGATATTCGGGCTCCGGATATTCGTCTAGATATTGTGATATCCGCGGGTATCCGGATTTGGATTCGGATCCATAAAAATAATTATATTTTTTTAAAATAAAAAATTCTAAAATAATACATAAACTAAATATTTAAGCATATTTTATAAATGTATATATGACATACAATATTATTAATATAAAATTAGAATATTATTAAACTTATTTTGTGTATAAATATTAATATATCAGATATCATTAATAATAAAATAAAAAATTTAATATATTTTTAAAAATACCGATCCGAATCCGGATATCAGGACCTAAAAATTAAGATATCCGGATCCGGATTCGGTTTTTTCGGATCTGAGATTTTACTATCCGGATTTGGATCCAGGCACCCCCACATATCCTAATTTCGGAGCGGATCTCGGATTGAATCCGGATCCTGGATAAAAGTCCCAGCCCTAATTAAAACAATCTTCGGTTTTCATACTTTTAAATAATAAAGTAATTTAAAACATTTAAACAAATGGAAATACAGTATTAATCAATTAACATGAACTTACTTTGTAAATATTTATATATGTGCATAAACCCAAAAATATCAAATAGTATATAAACATATATGTAGACTATGTGTATTTTTTCGTCAACGACTATGGGTAGGGGTGGACGTTCGGATACATATTCAGGTATGGCTCAGATCTATTAGTTTTTCGGATTTTCAGGGTTACAGATTTCAAGACCATTCATGTATTCATAAATTTTGGTCCGGGTTCGGTGCGGATCTTTGTGGGTTTTGTTTGAGTTTGGATAACCCGTTTAAATTATTTTTAAAATTTAAAATTTATATATGTTTAGAATTTCTGAATATCTAAAAATAAAAATAATATATAACATATAAATTTGAATAATGTATGCTAAAATACCTAAACTAAACCTAGAAATTACTTTAGCTTGAATATTAGGATGGAGAATCAATATATATATATATATATATATCATTCTGTTCAAAACAAAAAGGCCACACATAGGGTGTACAAAAACTTTTTTCTTCGAATAAATTTAACATTATATTAAAAAAAAGAATCAATAGATATTTCAAGTACTTTTCGTATTTTGAGTATTGTTTAGATATTAAATTTTGACTATTTGAATAATTTTTTAAGTATTCTGGATGATTTTAAAATATCTTATATATTTTGAATATATATGGATATGACATCTGAAAATAATTAATATATTTAAATATATAGATCTGATTCGGATACCTTTGGTTCGGTCGGGTTCGATATCAATTTTTTAAATCATTATTATTCATATTTAAATATAAAGCCAAACATCATAATAAAAGCGTAGAAGGTATATTCCAAAAAACTTATATTATTATCTTAAAACCTAATACAAATATCATAGGTATTTTTTCCGTTTAAATGTTAATGTATGAGATTCATATTCTTTTATTTTATTTTTAGTTATGTTTCTTCTATTCTTTAAGAAATTAAATGTATAAAAATTGTGTTTAGTTGTTTAGATTAAATGGTTAAATATCTAACTCGTAATATTATTAGTATGTTTAGTTAATCTAATTAAAGAAACACTTCAGTTTTTTTGGCGTGGCTCGGTTTTAAACCGAACCATTTCAGTTGATAATTTTCTTAAACCAAATGGGTTAGATAAAAATATATTTGGTTTGGTTTGGATTGGTTTTAGGTTTGTTTGAGTTAGCTTGGTTTGGTTCGGCTTATACCTATGTTATATATTCAAAATTATAACAGTATCACTAGTTTATTGATTTACATATATGGTCTAACATATCAATTAAGAAATGGTTTGGCACACTATATTAAATAAATGCTTAACCACCTTGTTTAATCTGATTTTGGCATGTATAGAATATATACATGAATTTGATGGTAAGTTATTTGAAAATTGTTTACTGACTTGATCAAAGACCTATTACAAAAAAACACATGATATTATGTGAAAAGATGATCATCTTCGCAAGAACAAAATAAACTATGAAAACTCAAATCTTGTAATGAATTGTTCGTGTGTGTGAATCTCCACATCTTCGGCCTTCTCCTTTTATAGTTGATTACTTATCTTTATTCTTTTAATCATGGTAACCTCTGACCATATTTTCACCAAGTGGCCGAGGTCAATTTACTTGATGGACTTTATCTGAGTGATATAATCCATTTCAAAACATAAGTTCCCCTAATTCATTAGCCCCGTTCGTTTTCTAAACGCAACTACTAGCGGCAGCTGCAGAAAACAAAGCTAGGGCAAAAGAAAATTCTTTGGTGTTCTAAACTAGAAACAGCCGCAACAGACAATCGGAGACATGAAAACAGCATTTCGGCTGCCGCTGAAATTTTCAGCTTCGTATTGTTGGGTTGAACTTGACGCAGCGAGTGGATGAAACAGATCCATGTTGTTTTGTTTGTACAGCATCTGCCGTTGTGACGCTGCCGTCAATCGTGGAGTTTATAAAACGAGCAGCACTATTGTGCGAAATGAAGTTGAGTTTTTATGTGAATTTGTAAGAATAGGTTCTAAAAGTGAAGGTGTTTCAAAAAAAAAAAGGTTCTAATAGTAAAGAAATTGGCACATGTCCATCTCTGCATATTGGTAAGCCTTGGCCGGGTTAATAAATTTAAACTCAGTTTATTTTATTGATATTGTTATCACAAATCGAATTCCAGTTTATTCGGAGAAGTAAAAACGTTGCTCTTAAATTAGCAGGAATTGTGCCGCCATTTTAGGTCTCTTGGACCTAATGATGATGTCTCTTCGTTTATCGTTTCATTCCTAATAAACAGAGGATCTCACCTTCATTTATTCACTTCTTTTCACGATTCAAGGTAGCTTCTCTCTAGAACTCTCCTCATTTAAACCGCTTTTACTGTCTCTACTTTCTAACCAGCCTCCGTAAATTGGGGGATCCATAGGAGATCGAGGAAAGGAACGGAGAAGATTTGTTACCCAAGTCCAGATCAACTCGTCTCCGGCGGATCCAATCTTATTGACGATATGATTATGATTCATCAAAATGATTTAAGGGATACTGCCAGTTTGGAGTTTTACCAACTTAAGCTAGTTATTCATTCCGAAGAAACATTTAGGGAAGATGGGGATGGTCAAGAAGATGATGATATGAAAGATGATCATGAGACCATCCTTCGAAGACGTGTAACTGGTTGTGT